TCACTTTTATAAAATTATCAGAAAAGACAGAGAACACTTACTATCGTAGTCTTATTTGTACTAAACTTTATAATTTTATCAGAGTTCATATAAAGATTCAAAGTTTATCAGAATCAGCTTAGATTACTATTTATGATTGATTCATTAAATTATTAAGATATGTAATGCATTAATATAAGCAATTGTCTCAATATCTGCTTATAACTCCACTTTCAAGTATAAATCCCGTTAACTTCACACACCCACATACAACAAGTAGGGCTAGAAGCCTAGAACATAACAGAGTAATCTCTCACACCTGCATTCAACAAGTGGTGTCAGTATCCCTTCTTCATCCATATAAGGCAAATGGGGCCATGATAGAACAAATAAGGTCATTGTGTTATTTCATATATATAGTGATCTTATCATATTTCAAATATCAAAACATATCATGTCATGCCATGAATTATGCAAATTAAATGCTACAATAGTTTATTATGACTTTAACATGTAATTATGTTGATACACGCATTACGAGATTTGCTAATATTAAACCAAATCACATTTGTAAAAGCCCGCTACATGAACATTTTACATTTCAATTATAATTCTAGATAATTATCCTGAGGATTATTTTAAGCCTTTTATATAGCTATTATAAAAACAAGAAATGCATCATTTGTTCAATACACATAATAATCGGCATAGAAAAAACCAACCGTTGAAAATATAATTTCTTTTAGTCAATGCGTTTAGAATAAAACATACAACAATATAATAAAAGTTATATGATGAAAAAGTTGTAAAATCTAATGAAAATGTATTTTTATTTATAACTTTTTATAAAATTACTAGAATTGAAATTAGAAACATATGTTCATAAGTCTACCTTATCCTCTACGAAATTCTTAACTAGCCTAACGGATAAAACACAAGCTTAATTTGGCCTCCGAATTCTCTCTCTTTCTTTATGTCTCCTTCTTCTCCTCTTCTTCTTCGGTAATCGAACTAGTTTGGGGAGGGTTAAAATGGATTAGATATTTATTTTAAAAATATATTATTTCAAGTCCAGCACCGCAGCGCTCACCTCCCCGGTGCCACTAAGCTTCAATGGTATATTTCAAATCCTCCTATATTCTTCAAACCCGAGAGCAAAGCGCTGTGACGGTGCCACCTCGCACCGCAACACCCCCTTAAACTTTCTCCCCAAATAAATAGCTCAATGATGTAGCTCCGATCCTTCCAGCGCCATGACAAATTGAAATTCCACCACTAAATTTCAACTTTTGACTTATTTAGGGTTTATTAAGCATTATAATGCTTGAAAATGATAATTCAATCCAGATTAAATGAAAATATATTCTATTATAAATCAATTACTTCGATTTTGAAATAGTGGTGTTTCATAGTATCCCATGTCCAAGCAGCAATAATGGCAGCAGCTTTTATAGAGTTTCAAACCTCAAATACAAAGTTCATATGTTTGAAGCTAAGAGCCTAAGATAAAGCAATTTTTGTAGCAAAAACAGATGTAAAGCCAGCAAGAGAGCAAAAAAGAGAAAGAGAGATAACACGCTTTGAGAAATATTTTCAGTTCGTAGTTTAAAGTTTTTATCTTATCATAACTTCTGCATAACATCACATGTGTTCATAATTATGGTTTCATTTGGGACGGTTTTTTTACTGTTTTCTAAAGCAACTTTTTAGTACAAAAATTTCTTGAACTTAAAATTTTTATAGAAGAAAACTGCTTTAAAAAATATTAATAAAGCCACCGCAAACAAATCCTATACCTCATTGTTTTAATTATTGCTTTCTAAAGTAAATTTGTAGTGTAAAAATCTTTTAAACTATTAGTTTTTTTACTAGAAAGCTGATTTACGAAGCAGTAAGAAACTTGCCTCAAAAGGAGCGAGAGAGATTATTAGGTGCGGAGTGCGGACAGGGAGCACCGTTCGCAACAAGCATTGGCGGGAGCTCGGTACCGAGCTCCCCCAATACTTGTACGGATGGTGCGTACTCCGCACCTAATAATTTTTCCCTAAAAAAGAGGCCTAAATTACAGCTATTGCAATTCTTTCCTTAACTGTAGCATTATGACGATTAAAACAGCCACAAATTGATTGCAGCGAGCTTGTAGCAGTCACTATTTTCTCTCAACTTGCTAAAACTAAATTAACAGCCTGTATCTACCCCAGTTCTGGCTCAAGCATTTAACCCCTCTCCTGTATCTCTCTCAAACAGTAGCAGTGCATGTGCTTTCCTGACAAATTAAATGTAAAAAAACTCGGGTAATTTTACTTTGAATGTATTTTGAAATCCATAAATTTATTTTAGGATGATTATAATATATAATCAACTAAATAATTAACAAAAATTAATTATATTATTTTTTAAAATTTGATCAAAAATTTGGCAGAATATTCTGTCCTATTTGTCTCGAAATTAAATGCTTTCTGTATGTTTCATGTGAAATTGAGGAAAGATTTAATTCACAATAAATCGCTTTTTTAAATTTATTAATAAACTATATATTAAATATGTTTATTCTAACAGTTTTCAGCCAATTTATTAATAAACTTTAATTTCTATCTCAGGTTTGAAATAAAGCCGATATAGTGTGAAGAATTTCCTATTACAAATATAATATGCTGAAAAAAATTATATATATATAATTCTTTGTTAGGATATTGGTCCATATTTATGTTAGTTATTTTGTTGTACTTATTTTAGCTTTTTATGTAGCTTTTTATTGTCATTAGTGTCTATACATAGGTGATATAGTTTGTAATAAGAACACTAAGCCAAGCAACAATTAAGAATTAGTTTTCATTCTCTTCTTTTATGCAACTGCTCTCTTCTATCTTCCTGTCTCTCTCTCTCATTCAAGAATCTTCTTCCTCATCCAAGATCCTAACATCTTGCAAGTCTATGCAAATAATTTATAGGTAATTCGATAAAAAATGTCATCTAGCCAATGCAGGCACACTCACCCACTGAGGGGAGATTATTGGGTTCGGACACCGGACACAACTTAAGTTTTGTACTTCGCAGTACCGAGTAGTACTGAACTCGGTACTGTGAAGTACGGAGTTCGGTACCGAACAATACTGAGCAGTACCAAGCTCAATACTGAGCAGTACCGAGGTCATTACTGCTCGATATTGTTCAGTACCGAGTTCAATACCGAGTAGAAGGTGATGTAGTGCATTTTCATTGGGCTCCGAACATCATCCGTTGTCCGAACCCAATAATTTATCCCCACCCACTGAGAGGCTGTCGACCCTGCAAGGGCTATGGCTAGATTTGGTTCATGGCCTAACATCCGCTCTTACCTTTAGGAGATAGAAGAGTGCGGAGTAGACAAAGGTGATTGTCATTCTTGATGAGCTCCCCCAAGGGACTTATTTGTAAGGACGCATACATGATATCAGGATCACTCGCCTCAGCCAATTCAATTTATCCACAACTCTCAGCAAGGCCACCTCCATGCTATTGATGTCCCCAATCAATCTATATGAAGCACACACTTTTGAAACTTGTGACTACTACAATACCAAATAACTCGTCTCTAGGTTATAGCTATTCATATTTAGGGGCGCGCACACCCCTTATTGCTAGGCGCACTCACGTCATTCTTGGGGACTCATCTTAGGAACAAGTGGACACTAACTTGTTCTTTTACTCAAAACCCAAAGACTCGATCGCTCATGATTCTCACCATTAAAGAATCATGTAAAGCACTCACCTCACCGCGAGGGGATACGCTACTCAACTTATCCATATTTCTGTATCAATCTATAATAGACATATCATATATTCATATATTATTTTATATTTTTTATGTGTGACATTTCTTATATATAGCCCTCTCGATCCTATAAATAAATGGAGATATATTTAAGATATTTTAGCCTTCTCTTTCTCTCAATATCCTTACCAGTTATTATATTTTCAAAGTGCTATAATTTTTTCACAAATTTAATTTAATAATAACCAACTCTACTGACTTACATAATTTTCTAATTTTAATATGCAGCTCATCATGGTATGAACAATGTCTTGAATCCAAATCTGACATATGTGGTCTTTGTGTGAGTTCATCTTAATTGGCCTAAATGTCCCACCATATATATATATATATATATATATATGTCATCTTACATGACTATCTCTCCCCTTAATCCAGGAGGAATTATTCTGTGCGGAGTCCGGACAGGAATAACTGTTCGAATATATGAGTGTACTTACACACAATGTGTATAAAAATTTGATATAAAATATTTACAAATGTATACACAGTGTGTACACTCATATGTTCGAATGATTCTTTCCGTCCAGACTCCGCACAGAATAATTTCTCCTAATCCGGCCACTTAGCACATCTTCCAACCATTTTTTCCCCACTCACTACTTCATCTACCCTTCATAATTTATAGAAAACATTTTAAATAAAAATATTCAGATCAAAATGTAAAAAAGTTAAATTTAAAACCTATGGAATTTACAAAATATAGTATATATTTAAATTATTTATTTATATAATACACCCAATTTTAAAAAAAAATCAATAAATTTTATACCTTGATATCATTTGCGTTTAAAAATTCATAGATTCATTATAATTAGTGCCGTAAATATAGAATTTATATTTTACTAATCTCAAAATAAATCTACCAATTATTAAGTCCAACATAATATAATTTATATCAAAATATTGTTTCATTACCACTTTACATATTAACCTCTTCATTTATCTAAGTTTACAGAATTACCATAAAATATCCTAATATAGTAATTTTGAAAATAAATTGAATCACAATATTTTTATCAATAAAATAATCAAAATGAGTCCAAAAATCCTTAAATACTTATTAGTATAATAATAATTATTAAAAAAAACCGTATACAATTTTTTTTCAAAAATTTTCCCCACTCATCTTCTTCCTCCACCATGTTAATTATATAACCCGCCCTTTAACTTCTCTTCTCTCACCTCTCTTCACCTCACACTTGAAATGGATCTCCTCGACATCCTCTACATTCTGACAGCCGTCGCCCTCGCCGCCGCTTGGTGGCGCCACTGCTCCACCCCCTCCTCCTCCGACCTCCCTCCTGGCCCACGCGGCTGGCCCGTCGTCGGAAACCTCTTCCAAATCATCCTCCAAAACCGCCCTTTTATCTACATTGTCCGCGACCTCCGCCGCGTCTACGGACCTATCTTCACCCTCCGCATGGGCCAACGCACCCTCATCATCATCTCCTCCTCCGACCTCATCCACTCCGCCCTCATCCGCCACGGCCCCCTCTTCTCCTCCCGTCCCCCAGACTCCCCCACCCGCCTCCTCTTCTCCTCCGGCAAATGCACGATCAACTCAGCCCCTTACGGCCCTCTCTGGCGCTCCCTCCGCCGCAACCTCGTCTCCGAAATCGTTTCCCCCACCCGCGTCCGCTCGTTCTCCTGGGTACGCGACTGGGCCCTCCGCCTTCACCTCTCCCGCCTCCGCGCCTCCCGTCCTGTCGTCCATCTCATGCCGCATTGCCGGCTAACCATTTGCAGCATCCTCGCTTGCATTTGTTTCGGAGCCAAAGTGCCGGAGGAGAAGGTGAGGGAAATAGAGGAGGTGTTGAAGGATATAATGATGATGACGACGCCAAAGCTGGCGGATTTTCTTCCGGCGTTGACGCCATTGTTTAGGGGGCAGATAAAGGAAGCAAGGAGGTTGAGGGAAAGGCAGATGGAGTGCATATTGCCGCTGGTGAGGGCGAGGAGGGAGTTCGTGGAGAGTGGGGGAAGGAGGGGTGGTGGCGCGATGGAGTGGGAGATGGTGAGTGAGGTGGGGGAGGCGTATGTGGATTCCTTGCTGGTGAAGGAGGTGGAAGGGAAGGGGAGGTTGGGGGATGAGGAGCTCGTGACTTTGTGTTCGGAGGTGATGAGTGCGGGGACTGATACCAGTGCGACCGCCATTGAATGGGCCATGATGCATCTGGTTATCGATCAGAGCGCGCAGGACCGGCTCTACGACGAGGTGCCATTTTTCTCCTTTTTTTTCATTCTAACATATTTGATTATTAGATATCCGAAGCTTAAATTTTAATTTTAATTTTTATTTTATTTACATAAAAATTTATTAATATCAATTTCTATAAAAGAAATTACATTTTCTCATTCATATTTTGATTTGATAAAAATAATATAATATGATATCAAATTTTAAATAATAAATATATAGATTCATGAGAATTGGTGTAGTATGTATTTTATTATTATTATTTTAATTAATGATGAGTCTTTACTAATTAGTTTGATTAAAAAAATAGTTATGTTAAAGTTGCTGTTTTTTTCTAGAGAAAAAATTATAATATTATTTTTCGGAGGGGAGTGAGTTTAATATTTATTATTAAAAATTAAAAATTAATAAATTAATGTGCTCTAATAGAAGCCCTAAATGGGCATAATGAATTTTTTGTTAGAATTTGTTAGCAATTAAAAAATTGGTTAATATTTTAAAAATCTATAATTCCACTTTTTGGGAGCTTTAAATGAATATAATTATAATTATTAATAATTAATAGCTAATGTACTCTAACTCCTGTCTTCATAATGGAAACTGAAGCAATGGGCCAACTTGATGTGGATGTTTGGCCTCCCGTTCAGAAACAAGGGACCAAATTATTTTTTTTGTCAAATAGGATAGATTTGAACTATTTTGATAATTTTTTTTTCAATCACGTTATTTATTAATTTAATATCCAATTAATAGCTAATGTACTCTAACTCCTGTCTTCATAATGGAAACTGAAGCAAGGGACCAACTTGATGAGGATGTTTGGCCTCCCGTTCAGAAACAAGGGACCAAATTATTTTTTTTTTCAAATAGGATAGATTTGAACTATTTTGATAATTTGTTTTTTCAATCACGTTATTTATTAATTTAATATCCATTAAGGATTTTTTTGGGACAATTTTCTTATTATTTTATGAAGCAGCTTTTTAGTATAAAATTTTTAAAGAAAAAAAAATTGTGGTCAGAAAATAATTCATAAAGCAGTAAGAAATCTATCCCAAACGAAGCCTAAATCTAATCATACAAAGTTCTAATTCTTTTGAGAACATTTAGGTCAATTAAGACAAATTCACACACATATTATATAGATAAATTTCAAATTCAAAAGCTCTTGATTCGTAGATAAAATTCCCAGCCAGCTGATCAAAATAGCTGTGTTATATAGCTTTACTGAATTTAAGGATTTTTCTCATTAATTGAAAAATTATAAATAAAGTTCTCAAGATTTAATATTTTCCCTAACAAATTTTTTAAAAAAATTTAAATTTAAAAAAGGAACCAATTTTTTAGGAAAAAAAAGTCGCTCAATTTTTAATGAAATGATTTTTTTCCGTCTGTATATTATGATATATATACTACGAGTTGATCACCATTATTTTGAACTTTACATCTCATGTAGATAAAATTCCCAGCCAGCTGATCAAAATAGCTGTGTTATATAGCTTTACTGAATTTAAGGATTTTTCTCATTAATTGAAAAATTATAAATAAAGTTCTCAAGAATTAATATTTCCCATAACAAATTTTTTTAAAAATTTGAAATTTAAAAAAGGAACCAATATTTTAGGAAAAAAAAGTCGCTCAATTTTTAGTGAAATTATTTTTTGCCTTCTGTATATTATGATATATATACTACGAGTTGATCACCGTTATTTTGAACTTTACATCTCATTCATTTTTATTTCAAACCAAATAAAAAAATATCATATATTTTTTTATATTCATCTACATAATTTTAAATATTTCAAATATACTATGTATTTGTGGTATTCTTTTTTAACAAATCAAAGAGCCCCTATGTCTTGTTACATTTAAATACCACTTACTGCCAAATAAATTTACAGAAATATGAGTAATATCTTTCAAATCTTTCCCATAAAAAAAGAAAAAAAAAAAACTTTTAAATCTAATATATAATAATGATTTTTTCCCAGGTGAAGATGACGGAGGGGAGGATAACTGAAGAAGACGTGGAGAAAATGCCCTACCTGTCAGCAGTAGTAAAGGAAACTCTCCGGCGCCACCCGCCAAGTCACTTCGTCCTATCCCACGCTGCGACGAGAGACGCTGAACTCGGCGGCTACCGCGTTCCGGCGGCCGCCAGCGTCGAGTTCTACACGGCGTGGCTAACGGAAGATCCAGACTTGTGGAAGTGTCCGGAGGAGTGGCGGCCGGAAAGGTTTATGGAAGGCGGCGAAGGATGGGAGACCGACGTCACCGGAACAAAGGGAGTGAGAATGATGCCGTTTGGAGTTGGCCGGAGAATATGTCCGGCGGCGAGTTTGGGCATGTTGCACGTTCAGTTGATGTTGGCGAATATGGTGAGGGAGTTTAAGTGGGTGGCGCCGCCGGGAGAGAAGGTTGATACGACTGAGACTTTTGCTTTCACTGTTGTGATGAAGAATTCTCTCAGGGCTGTTATTCATGAAAGAGATTCGCTGGTTTTGAGCGCCACTATGGGTAAGATCGATGTTTATGGACAAAAGTAAGATCTTTGTTCATTGATAGCAAAAAAATTCATCCTTCATTCAATGTCTGTGAAGATTTCTGGTTTTTTTTTCTTTTTTTTTTTTTCGACTATATGTGTTCTATTGATTAATAGAAATCAATATATTGATGATGATGTTTGGTGACTGTTTTTACAAATTAATAGAAGGAAGTATTTGTATGATTTCTATCATATCATTACTAAATCGTCCTTAAAAAGGATCAAATTGTGGTGCTTCAGTTGCTGGTTCTCTCTTTTCATGATAATTTATATATATATTGTGATGACTGACCTTATAGGCTTCATATTGGTTATGCAAACAACTTAATGTATAAATCAGGATTAACTTGTGCTGTTTGATCTTATGCAGAAACAGTACTGCGAGCACAAACCGAGACAAGTTTTTAAAAATTTTGGTGATCAGAGAACCAATCTCAGCTCAGTTTACTTCTGTTTCTGTGTCAATGATTATAATCTTTTTTATTTATTTATTTAAAGCATCTCATGTATTACTTATTGTTATTTGACCATTTAAAAATCAATGAAATATTTTGTCATAAATCCTACCTGCTTAATATAGCTTTTTTGCCAAGCTGTTACATATTGAAGAATTCTTAGAATCAGATCTGAGCGTTTTTACATGCTCATGGAAGAACACATACCAAGAGATGAGAAAACAGAGGAAAAGGAAATAGAGCTTTTCTATTATTATCATCATTTCTAATACATCTGTACACCTATATATATAATGTATATATAACCAGCTTTACACGTGTCCTGATTCTATAGGACTGCAAGAATGAGTATCTTTATTTCACTGTTCTAATAGTCCCCCGCAAACTGACGATTCTTGTGCAATTGTCAGTTTGGAACGAAAATCTTTGAATCTTGATGTAGATAGCGACTTAGTAAATATATCCGCTATTTGGTCTATGGTACTGACAGGAATTAGTCTAATGTTGTTGTTGTGTATATGATCTCGAATGAATCTTTGGTCGATCTCGATGTGTTTTGTTCTGGCGTGAAATACTGGATTATTTGCCAGCGCAATAGCTGACGTGTTGTCACATAGTAGATCCACCGGAGTGTTATGCGAGATGCCGAAGTACCCCACTACAGGAAAATCACCGACTTCCGGCGGCTTTTTCCGGCGGAATTTGAGCAATTTCCGGCGGTTTTTTAATTTTCCGGCGGTTTTCCGGCGGCTTTCGAGCCGCCGGAAAAAACGGCGTAGGAAAATACTTTCCGACGGC